AGATGTAAATAAAAACTGGGTCAAACTAGTTTACCTTCTTTTTGTAGTTGGTATCCGCAATGCGCGTGTATCGTGCACGTGTATGAACAAATGTACAACGTTGATTTCCTCGGCAACATTGTTTACTGGTACCCATAGTGATTCTGTAGAGGAAAGATTCTGAGCTGAATCATCATGATCGCTTGATGCGTACTGCGTGTAATTCCATGATGTCATAATTCGGTATTAACTGTGTATAATTCGTAATACTGATATATCACATTATATCTTATTTGCTATTCTTTTTCCAGTATAAAGTCATTGGAGATTGCATTAATGTCGCTGAGTTTTGCTGAGCGCATTTGCAAATATCTTTATGAGAGATATTTATGGCCTATTTCCGTCTGATTTCTCACTGTGATGGCAAAATGTATTGTATCAAACGCCACAGTTAGATATCTGCAGTTAAACAATCCAACCATTCGTCAATTTATTAACACAGTAAAAATAAATTAATAATTAATAAATATTTGTTTTATTTTTATTTTTAAGGCTTCTGATTAGAGCTGATTAGACTAGTTATCACAGCCATATTGAATGAATCGTGTCAAAAGTGAGAAATAACACATTAATTTTTATCACATGCTATTTATAAATAAAGACAATTTAGATAAAACAAAATGATGTTGAGATTGCTTAAAACACTTGTAAAAATGAATGAAAATTATGTTTATCTCCCTCCCTGACAATCAGTAAATAATCGTAAAAAGTGTTTATATCATCAAAAATAAGCGAGATATTTCAGATGGTCGATTTCAAGTGTATGAATCTGTACAATGATTTCAGTTGTTGCAAATATTTTTTCAAGCTATAGACAGTTTTTTAATTGCAACTTGTTGCTAACAAAACGCTGACAATATGAAATGTTATACGTTTTCATGGTCGAGGATATATTTATGCTAACATGTTCCCATTACTTTGCTATTACAAGAATTCGAATTCCGTTGAGTTCAATCCGACAAACATGATGCTGTCTCACCTTAAATTGAGTTTGTCGAAATTGATTACCGCGACATGTCAGCAAACACACTGCATTTGGCTATCTGGGACGTGTAAGCGAAAATATAAGCTACGTATGCATTGAATAAAAGCATTTCATATGTCTTTTATTACTTCTCTAAAGCAATCTTATTATTTTGTCCAAATTATCTTTATTTATAAATGGCAATAAAAATTAATGTGTCATTTCTCGCTTCTAACGTCACAATTATGTGATGACTACTCAGGAGTTTTAACTAGCATTACTTAATTATACCAATTTATTATTTGTTGGTATTCGCGTTGTTTATTTCTTGTATATTAAAATATTTTTTTAGAATTTATGCACACGGAAATGCACAGTACAATTCTTTATGTCAAAAGAAGCAACATTTTAGCTATAATAAATAATTGTAATTTAAAAACTATTGCTCGAACTGCTAAAGAAAAATATTACCTTTTCTATATGTGCAAATTCTAGAACACCCTGTATAATATGTAAAAACGCGCGTTTAATGCGTCATTTAAAAAAATCATAAATACAGTGAATAAAAAATATTGATTAGATAAAATTAATCTTTGAAGTGTCATTAAGAGAGAGTATAATATATACCAATATATTATATTCAAATTAGGAATCTATCAATTAGATGCAAATAACATATTACGCAATACTCAGATATTACAAAAGATTATGTGATAAAATATATCTAAATCGTAGTAGACGATAAAATGCTTGGATAATAATATGCGGATTATAATATGAATATAATCGCGTCGTACTTTCTGAGCAATTTAGAACAATGTCATTGTAATTTTCGTTTATCGTTGTAAAATAGATGTCAAATTTGTTGATAACAATTCTAATTGCAAGAAAACACTATCGTATGTACCACTATTGTATATAGTCTCCACATATCGTCTAGACGTAATGTATATTCGGAATTTTCTCTGCTTTAAATAACTGTGTCTATTCTGTATGCCATTTTGCAATGTTCTTATCACTTATGAATCATAAGTTATGATATTTGGATACTTATCGTATCACTTGAAGTCAATCCTTCTAACTACGCAGAAAATGGATCTGCAACTTTCATGTATCTACAAAGTTATGTTTGCAATAAATAATTAAAAAATAAAATCATTAAAACAATTTTATTCTTATAAATATAAGATTTCCTTAAATTCGAGTTGAGTCTCTGGTAAAACTATTTAAAAATTTATGGAATCAATTTATGGAATATAACATCTCACGGATGAATAAATATAAATAACAGTGAATAGAGCATACGTGATGTACTCTTATAGTGAAAAAGAGTCATCTTGAAAAAACGTTTTTCACTTCAGTAAAAATTTGACGTTCATTCCATGGTTCATCTCCTTGAAGTATACTAAACTGATGAATACCGTACAGCTTAAGAACAAATAAGTCTTCATATAATTCTTTGAAA